TTTCCTCCTGCACTTCAGGCCACTGTTCGTGGTCTTCGCGGAGAATTTTAAGTGAGCACAGTGGCGTTTGAGGAACTTCAGTGTAGCGCTGTTGGGTAAATACAAAATGTCGTTAGGTTTTTTGTGGCCAAAATTCAACAATTCAACAGTACGTACCGCAATCCAGTTGTGCTTCATCACCTGCTCAATAGTTAACCGTTTATCGGGATCTGTGCACAGGAGTGCTTTAATGAGGTCTTTTGCTGAAAAAACAAAACACTTTAGTTATTATATTGTTAAAAAACATGCAAACAGCCAGGTTACCATCTTTCGACACATGTCGCCACTCTGATTCAGGAAAGTCGTACATTCCAGCGCGAATTCGTTTCTTCATTCCCGGTGAAATGGCCAAACCGTGGTTGCTGTAAAAGGGGGGATACCCGCAGAGGAGGATGTACATGATGACGCCTAGGGACCACATATCACTATTGCAAAAAGTGAAAACAGTGTTTGCTTAGTAAATGTGCAGGTATTCGTTTTTAGCTCTTTTTAAAATGTACATACCAACTTTTGTCGTATTTCTCAGGACCGAGCACCTCAGGAGCGACGTAGTATGGCGTGTAACAGGGCGTTTGTAGCTGCAACATTTGCGTGGTTTCCTTTGCAAAACCAAAATCGGTCAATTTGAGAATTCCCGTAGGATCTTTTCGAGTGTACAGCAAATTTTCTGGCTTCACATCTCGATGAGCAATGTTTAATGAGTGCAAGTAGAGAATGGCCTTGCAAATGTCCCGCATAATTTCCGCTGCTTCACGTTCTGTGAAAGCATTTTCTGCTCTGTCTTGAATTCTCTGAAACAATTCACCACCTTCCATACTGAACAAAAAAATTAAATTAACGTTAGTCCTAGTAACGTGAGAGTGATATATTAAATTAACACAAACCATTCCATGATAACAAAGAGGCATTTACTGTTACTTAAATTGTTCTCAAACACATCTAAAACTTGAACAATATGTTTTGATCGGCTTGCTCGCCAGTGCAGCTCTACTTCTCGTCGTGATTTGGCGTTGTCGCGGAGAACCTAATATTAAAAATATTAGATATTTAAAACTTTTGCAAATGAATTTAAACAATATATTTTTTAATAAAGAAGTTTTACATTTGAATTAATAAACTGCTTGAAATTTTTCTAATTGTTTATATGCTTTTGAGTTTTTAAAAAAAATTTTAATTTTTGTTAATAAATTAAGTTTATAAATCTAAACAGCTGCAACATTATTGGTAATGTTGCAACAACTTTTGCTTGCACAGCAAATATTTTCTTGTAAAAACAAACAACAAAGTAATCTATTTTAGCAAAATACAAACAAACTAAACTTTGCAGTTTTAATGTTAATTTAAACGCTGTTTTAACGTTTTGTAGTGCATAAGCACTAGTTAATCTATTTTTAGTGAGGGTAATTTAATTATAGTAGATTTGCTCACCATATAATAAACTAACTAACACCTATTGCCACTAACCGTTGTCAATAAGGCAAAGCAAAAAAAAGAGTGTAGCTGCAGCTGGAAAACACTGAAAAGCACTTTACCTTAAGAGCGTACTTCTGTCCGGTGGTCTTGGAGCGGCATTCGAGCACTTTGCCGTTGATGCCCAGTCCGAGGACGGTGTCGGTGATGGTGTACTCCAGGTGGATGGACGTGCTCTTAATGCGAAGTGGGGTGTTGTTTGGTCCGCCGTAGATTGCTCCTCCTCCTCCTCCTCCCTGCAGGGGCACATTGGTGAGGTTGCCCATGGGCAGACCGGAAGGGGGCAGAATGCCGCCGCCACCTGTTGGGGCTCCGTTTCCGCCGCCATGCTGATCATTGCCCGCCTGAGCTTGTGCCTGAGCCTGAGCCTGAGCGGCGGCGGCAGCCTGAGCAGCCGCCTGAGCTCGACCACCTCGATTCATGATCTTCTTCAGTAACATGATTTGATGATTTGTATATTTGGATTATAGTTTGTGCGTTTCGTTGGATTTTCAAAGTAGTAGTAGTAATGTAGTTTGAGTAACCAGAGTTGACGGGATTAATTGGTTTGCGGTTACAGTGGTTTCAAGTTTCGTTGTTGTCGATGGTTTAAAATTAGTTGCAAATGTTGCACAAATTAAAGTAAATGAATTTAATAAAAATATTTTTTAAAATCTGTTATATTGTTTTTATCATGCATTTAAGAATATTTTGTTTTTGCGTTGTGAAAACCAGTTATATGCGTTTAACTATTTGAGTAAGATGAGAGCGCACAAACACAGTTAACTTTAAGTAAATTCAATTTGACGAAAGTTGATGGAGGTCACAAAGTGATAACTGTAGTAAAAATGAAAAATTTAGAAATGAAACAACACTAAAAGTTAAGAAGTTGACAAAATGTTTAGTCAANGGATTATAGTTTGTGCGTTTCGTTGGATTTTCAAAGTAGTAGTAGTAATGTAGTTTGAGTAACCAGAGTTGACGGGATTAATTGGTTTGCGGTTACAGTGGTTTCAAGTTTTGTTGTTGTCGATGGTTTAAAGTTAGTTGAAAATGTTGCACAAATTAAAGTAAATGAATTTAATAAAAATATTTTTTAAAATCTGTTATATTGTTTTTATCATGCATTTAAGAATATTTTGTTTTTGCGTTGTGAAAACCAGTTATATGCGTTTAACTATTTGAGTAAGATGAGAGCGCACAAACACAGTTAACTTTAAGTAAATTCAATTTGACGAAAGTTGATGGAGGTCACAANAATCTGTTATATTGTTTTTATCATGCATTTAAGAATATTTTGTTTTTGCGTTGTGAAAACCAGTTATATGCGTTTAACTATTTGAGTAAGATGAGAGCGCACAAACACAGTTAACTTTAAGTAAATTCAATTTGACGAAAGTTGATGGAGGTCACAAAGTGATAACTGTAGTAAAAATGAAAAATTTAGAAATGAAACAACACTAAAAGTTAAGAAGTTGACAAAATGTTTAGTCAATTTTAAAAGTACATGTAGAAAACAAACACAGGCAACTATTGCGTCATAAATTGTGACTAAACTATCCAAACGAGTTAATAAATTGAAGCTTGTTAAACAATTTTCCATTCACAACAAACAACACTAACCAATTTGAATGTACGGTTTTTAACACATCTTCAAATTGCCAACAGTTTAAAGAGTTGGTGAGTTATTGTTTCACATAACACTGCACTGAAATTGCACTGATTGCCATCAGTGCCTGTCATCGACAAAAAAGAAAAAATTAAGTAAACTGCAGAGCAGCTTATTATTGCTCGATGGTTGCACAAAATTGAAATAACAAAAAACAGAGAGAGAGAGAGAAAGAGAGGAAACGTAACGTATCAGAGACAAACGGCAGTGGCACACGTTTTCAGCGACAATTCACAAACATTAAGGAATTGGTGAAAAAAAGTGAATGTGACTGATACGCTAAACGCTAAAATGGCTCATCATTGGAGCAAATGCTGTTGCTGCAATTACTACCACCACCACCATCAGCAGCAGCACCACTGTACGGCAGTGTACCAAGCGGTGGTTTGCTTAGAGAGCGTTATCCTCTTTCTCTCAATCTCTTAAGGATGCGATTATAACCTAGGAATCTTTCTCCAGCTCCTAACTAACTAACTAACTAACTAACTCGTGTGCACTTTGCACGTAAAGTGTGCGTTTGTCAGTGTAAGGTTGTGTGAGTGTGGTTGGCTGGCTGGTTGGTTAGTTGGGTGGTGAGTGTATCTCTCTTTTCACTCTGTTTGTCTGTCTGTCTGTTTCCTCTGATTAGGTAAGACAAAAGACGATGCTGCTGCTGCAGCAACAACACCAGCAACAGCCAAGCTGCAACCGCAACATCAGCAGTGACATTAGCAGCAAGAACTGAAGCCAAGTGAGCAGACGAGCCGGCGAGCAGCAGTAGTGGGTTGTGTGTATGTCTGTGCCAATTGCTGAGACGTGCCGCGACGATTGCTGCTGCAGATCAGCGAGGTGTCTTCTTCTCTAAAGAAGCCGTAGAAATCGGCGCTTTTCCAGCACACACACTTACACTTACATTTCTTGCTCATTCATTACATCTACCAGAACGATCATACCGGCAAGGTTTTAGGATTCACTCCCTGCCTGCTTTCTTCTCTGGCTATTTATGCGCCAACGTGCTGATTGCAAACGTAAAGAGAAGAAATTAGAGACGACACCAAAAACGACCGGAGGTAATGGAGTAGTTTCTTTTGCAGTTATTTTTTTTCCTTTCACTTTTAGTCTATTTAAAATTTGTTTGCCAGGAGATGATCTTTTTCAGTGTTTTTTTGTCTGCATCAGCAGTCACATTGTCTTTTTAACGGCTGAATAGGCTTTTTATATAGAAGATTAGCTTCAAAATGCCAAAACAGTATGCGCTTTTAGTATTATAGTAAAAAATGATAACAAATAATATTATGTGAGTTAATTTGGCTTAATGGGTTTAGATTTTAAAACAATAACAGTTAACTTACAAAAAAAATTTTTTGACTTAAACAAACTTAGAAAAATAGAGTATTTGAGCTTTACACAAAATTTAAGTATTAATAAAAAGGAGTTTTGAAGCAAACAGTCAGAAAAATGGATGTTTTTTAGCAATTTGCAAACTGATTTTGTTTGACTGTTGTTAAGGCTCAGATAACCCATTGCTATGGTTTCAAAACGGCGTTTTCAATTATGCTTATTAGTACTAGTGAGTTGAACTACAATAATGTTTTAAACAATACAAAACTAAACAAGGTTTTGCTTACAGTGTTAATCAGCCAATTGATTTATTCTTGGCATAAAACTTAATAGTTGTGCAAAACTAAATAGTTTAACTATACGACAATTTTTAATGTTATGAAACGGCTAAATTGCAAATACTAAACAAAACTTATTGTCTAACAACTTATTAAAAGCAACAAAACTGCACTAAAAAAACAACAAAAACTACTTTATATTAGTTTAACAAGCAAAACAACATAACTGAACGTTTGTTGACTTACAAAACAGCAATTGCATTGGCACATTTTATAAAAATATAAAAACAATCTGTTGAACAACAAAACAATAAATTGTTGAACACGAACAAGTTGAAAATAAAAAATTGGCAAAGAAATATCACTTTTTTATGTCAGTTTAGTTTGAAAACATTGTAAATAGTCATTGCATTTACACGCTAACAGTCGACTTTTGTATTGACTGGCGTTTAAAAAATGAAAACAAGGAAAAGCAAAATGAAACAACATCAAATTGTGAGAGAATTTAAAAGCGGCAAACCGAAAGAGAGAAAGAGAGATAAAAGAGAAAGAGGGAGAGAAATAGACAGTAACAAAATGGATAGTCAGCAAATGACAATAGAAAAAAGTGTATAGACTAGAGAGTGAGTGAACGAAGATCACAGTCGCCGGCTGGTTTGTCATGCACAAATTTACCGATTCAAAGTGCAATCGACACTACCCCAGCGCTGACTGTATTTGTCCTAGGGTGATTGTTGCGATCGGCCGCACGTTTGTGTCATCAATTGTCTTTTCGCCTACATTTGGCGGCTACTGTGTGACTGACTAATTGTAACTTGTTCTAAACGACAAAAAATACTGTGTTTAATTAAGTAGAAAACCGATAGCAAATTAAAAAGTTTAAAGCCTAACATTCTAACTTTTTGACATCAAAAAAGCAAGTTGAGAGAAAACCCCTTGTTCCGAGGAAGTTATGTGGTACTGACAGTTGATGTAAACTTTAAAGTATTTTTGTCATTAGATTGACGTTTGATAGTTGAAGGATTGCAGTATTTTTTATTTAATTTTACAAAACTAATAGAGTAGAGTGGTACCGGCCGCTACTATAGTTATAAAGTTTAATACAAAATTGTTAAACCACTACATAGTTTAGTTTAAATAACAAATTAAATTAAAATTCTAGTAGTTTTTGTAATTTAAAATGTTTCAACTGTTCATTTATTAAAATTGGCCAATATTTTAAAATAATAATATGATTTGCCTTTAAAAAATAGGGAAATTTTTATGTTATTTTATAACTGGTTATTGCTAAAATAGCAAAACAAATAAACATTTAACAATATAAAAAAACTTAATTAAGTTTAACTACGTGTATTTCAAAGCCATATAAAATTTACATAGCGCATCACGCAATTTTTTTAAGTTTAAATGATTTTCAATTTTGTATTTAATTTTTGATAAAAAAAAGCTGTTTTAAAATTACAAAAACTTTGTAGAGAATTACTGGTTATTAACTTTTAAATAACTGGTTTTTTGCAAAAACAAAATATTCTCAAAATGCATA